ACAAAACAGCAAAGCGAAAGTTACATTAAATGCCTTATACCAGTACATTATTTGCCAATGTTCTTTTTTAACGGGCCGTAGGCACAGCCGAACTGCACAATCAACCACTGCAACAAAACAGCTCAGAATATGTCGAAATATTCAACAAATAATTTGGTGATGCTCCCTTGGCAGTGGTGCACAAAGAAGCACAACTAACAACACTAAACTGAGGACAGTCGTCAATAATACTGCCATAAAATGAATACTGTGTATATAATTGGCGAGCTTTCAGGAAATGGCCCTTCTTAATAGCGCAACGTTTTTCGTGTCGGAGATGGATGGGTTTCTCGTCTGAAACCCGCTTGCGATTCCCGCATTAGAAAAAAAAACCGCCCAGGTGTGTGCGTATACGACCAAAATCACACGTGATGCGCCTGATCTCGTAAGCTAAGGGGCCGTCCATAAATGACGTCACGCTCCTGGGGGGGGGGGGGGTCAGACATTTGTGACGACGTGTGACGAGGGGGGGGGGGGGGAGTTTGAGAAATGTCAAAATGCGCAACTTTAAATATAGACAACACGTTCTCCTTAATTAAGTAGACTTTTTAATAAATATTTTCTCCTACAACATCAGAGTGCAGCGCCACATTAAATACGCACTACAAGGACAATCGTTTAAAGCGATTTAAAGCATGTTTTATTTTCAAAATGGAAATATGGTTTTGGGGGGGGGGTCTGACTTTTTATGACGCCGTGTGACGAGGGGGGGGGGTCAAAAATCGTCCAAAATCGCGTGACGTCATTTATGGACAGGCCCTAAGCCGGCTTTTTGGCCTGGATAGTGCTTGGATAGGCGACTACCAGCACACAGCACGGAGAGAGAGGCCAGAGAGACAGGCAACATACTTCTCTGGCGCAATTCACTTCACCTCTCTGGCTGTGAAGAAGGGCCGTTGCCCGAAACGTCGCCTATTATACGTGTTCATTTTTAAGGCATTATTATTGGCCAATGTATTGAGTTTATTTTGTTACCTGTGCTTGTGCACCATTGACAGTACTATCAGCAAACGAGTTGTTTCTCGTAAAAGGCCAACGTTAACAGCTGCAACCCTGCAATTGCTTGCTCACTCCACTGCTGGCGAAATAGCTTCCACTATACTCTTTGGTTTTTCGGTAAAGTCACGTAGGTAAAAAAATTAAAGAAATTAAAAATGAAAACAACTAAATTAAATCACGACGTTTCTGAAGCAACACAAGCACCCGTCATCAGGTGTGACCGCTCCAGCAAAATTACTAATTTAGTTATTTTCATTTTTAATTTATTAGATTTTTTTACCTACGTGACTTTACCGAAAAAAACAAAGAGTATGGGATCCCTGCAGTCACGAAAACTTCAAATATAGCTTCCACTAGTCTAGAGAGCGCCTCTACAAGGTATTTTGTCCTCTTCCTCCATGCTGGCCAGACGAAATGGATGGGGTGGGAGTGACCACATGTCACCGCGTCACACGCAGCCTGCCCATCGTCTAACCGGCGCAACCATTACTATCGCTGGGTGTATATCGAGACCGGAGTGTTGAAGAACCTCTCCCCATTGTTTCAACTGCCGTGCTGCAAGGTCGAACCGAAGACCTCTGGATTGCAAGTCCAGTTTGCTAATGATTACACCACTCTGGCAGCGTCATATGGACAATGTATAATAAACTAACAAAAAAATAAAAGCTGGCCTGCTTCGTTACTCTTAACACCCGTCAGCTGGCCAAAGCCAGTTACCGTACACAGTTTCCAGGGGAATCATTAAACAGTAGGTCGCGATGAAACTCATCGGGGGCTTTTCATTGAATGGTAAATATAACATTTGACTTTTTCTGCTACATTTCTTGCGCGGAAACAAGGCACCACGGGGCCAGGAGTGGAAGGGGCAATAACGAAGTGACTGATGATAACGATGATGGATTATACATAACACTGCAGAGATTGTTTTCACGGAGTTTCCTACAATGATATTTTAAATTCTCCTCGATCAATATTGTGGCGCACTCTAATGGAAATATTTTATCCATTACAAACCTATTACTTGTAATTAGGTGGCATATTAATTAAGGCTTTGTCAACACACACACGTTAATGTCCGTGTTGTTAAATGTGCAGGGAGCAGGGTCCTTATGATAATGAAAGCAACGAAATGTTCTCTCATTTGCTGAAATTGGAACTCTGTCAAATTAATTGCGTGCAGATACGTGACACACAAACGAAAGCTCACCACATTCGGCAACAGCAATGTAGCAGCGCCTTGTAACAAATACCAGATACATGGGCTGAGGTTTTTATGTAATGATCCTTCTTCACAGCAAACATATGAATGTTATTCGTTATGACAAATGTAGTATATATATACTCTCCATACAGGGTGGTAGAGCCGTGGCTCTGTGGTTTACGCAATGCGCTATAATCCCAACGACCTAAGTTGTATTCCCGGTCATGGCTGACGTCAGTGGTGAGTAATGTCTAAAGTTGTCCCGACTTCTGCCTATCACCAACAAGCACTGCCCAGCGTGGTGAAGTATGGCCAAATTAAACCTATGCGGTCTGTAAATTTTAATGTCGTTTTTACGCATGCAAACATTATACATACAGTCTAATACACAAATATCTAAACGGTATTTACACGCATTATTAAGGATGAAACGTTTAAGAAAGTAACAATTTATTGAACCGACATTGTCTTATGGATATGACTATATATGAGTAAACCTTTGCACAAACACAATAAAACAAGAACTTCGTTATGTCCATCGCAATCAACCTAAGCATCAATAACTCTTCATGGAGAGCTCCGGCAGAGGCCCTGAACACTTGTAGAACACATTTGTATGCAGACACCGTGTACCATTCAGCACACCACAGGGTTTCCAATTGGGTTATGTGTTATACATTAATACGTGCTATAAACATCAATAGAACACGTGAAAACTAGATCTCCCTGAACAACATAATTCGCCAAAGACTATATGCCCATTTACCCATTCCTAGTTTTTTCAAACACATTTTAGAGGCCACTTATATAAGTAAAGTAAAACAATATATCTCTAATTGGAAACCCAGCGAACTTGTGTCTAAGAGAAACCGAAGGCCACACTCGCGAGCAATTTCCACTTCCAGCAGGCGTTGGTAGCACGGCTCCTTCATAACGCGCCGAGTTTGCTCCCCGCGCTATCTTCAGCGCTGTCGCATCCCCACGGCTCAGAGCTGGGCTCCTCTGGGGCGGCTCTGGTCAGACCGCGCTCCATGGCCTAACATGGCCAGCTCTGCCGTTGTTGCTGTTGCTGCATGCTGTGGTTGGTGCTGCAACTGCAGTGGCACTCGTTTCTGCAAACCTGGCCGCCTGTCCAGGCGCTGACAGACACGAGGACTAGCTCTGCCCTCCGAGCCACAGCCTTTATTAGGGTTTTGGCATTGGCCCTGATTTGACCATGGATGTTAAAACACTGGCTGGTGCTGGCCTGAAATTTGGGAAAGTGCATGGATGTTGTATTTATTTATTTTTTAAGTTTTGTGTTTGGTTAAGAATAAAGCATGTATATTAATGATGGTTAAACTAAACATTAGCGATGTCAATGTTTGCATATTCGTAATATATTTTTAATAGTCACTCCTGTTATTAAATTGTAATTTGTCTGGAATATGGTACATTATTAGTACCACACAAAGATTGGGGCCTTAGAAGCAACCTGAAGTTTGCCTATTGAGAGGGGCAGTGTGCCAATAATACTATTAAGTTTTCAACTTGCTTGTAAAAAAAACTGTTCAGGGTAATTACCTCTCAGCCTTTTTGCTTCAGTGAGAATCTGCCAGCCTGGAGAAATCAGAGCTCACACTGGAACAAACTTCACAACCTGGCACACACTGAAACTATCACAATCACATTGCTGCAAATGTGTTTTTCCAACAGTTATATAAAATCCATTTGTCAAGTCACTGTTAACATTAGCTTTGGGTGAGAGGGCAAAGACCACAATCTCCAGATTCGAGCTGACCTCTGTAGATGAAATACAGTGTAAAGACAGGCCAAGCAATCTGACTCAATGTCACGAATACTTGGAGTTCCCTGATAATGTTGTCGAGAGCGCATGCCGCACTAGACTGCCAGTGCAGCGCACAATGTAAATGCAACAATAACAATAGCTAAACGGCATTGTTAGGTCACATTAATTAGACAAAGCGCAAAGCGTATGTGCGGCATTGGCGGTGGTGGAGCAGTTGAGCTGTCGGCACGCCGTCTCGAGAGAGCGTATTTCGGGCAGCGGCACGATGAACGCGTGGTGTCAGATTATTCCCTTGCGATACTCAAGGTTCGCAATTGCTTACGGGTTAATATGCTTACACAGCTGCTGCTGTAAGCTTGACTAATATGGTTACTTTAACAAAATCATGACAAAGTTTTATAATAAAATCTTGCATTTTTATTAAATGTTTAGTTTACAGTACCAATATTTTCGCTGTTTCTTCATCCAGAAATGCATTTATTTTCCACTTTTTGATCGCTGTTTCCAAACGAATGGACAGGGAAATTAATATAATTCTTAGCTCTCCGATCTGTTTTTGGTTGTTTTTGCATGTTGCTCGTCATCATGTCTAACGTTTCGCTCCATGTGCTGGGTTCTTCGTGTAAGATGTGGGGCACAACGTTGAACAGCGTGACAAAAAAGTACACAGTACCACCCGAAAACACAACATATATATACACACATACAGCAATCCAGCAAAACTCTACTTTTTTAATGTTAACCATTGCTTAGGCTGTGCCACTCAATCTGCAAGACATCCAGCAACATTCATAGCTGGACCTGCTGATAGAGCCCCACATGGTGATCTAGTCATGAATTACAAGATGCCCCACCCACACCTGTCCCTGTGTTGGGCCCTCGAGCTCACAGAGCGAACCTCCTGCCCAAATTGGCAGCATGTCCCTGGTGGCTGTGGGAGCTGAGGTCGCCTTTCTCTATAAAGCGTCGCTCTGAGCGCCAAGTGTACACTTCCAGGACACCGGCAACTGCTCGACGTGAACGTAGCGCGGAAGTGGTGCAGTGGTCGACAGACAGAGCGTGAATCAACCCGTAGAGCTCCCACAGCTGAAGCAGAATGCCTCCTAAGTTTACGAAGAAGGAGCCAGCGAAGAAAGAGGCGGCACTACCTGTCGAGCCGGAAAAGCCAAAGGAGCCTGTGTTTGATGCCAAGGCTGTCAAGGTGCGTTCGCTGAGCAGAATGGGCATGCGTCGAATGTGTCATGTTCTGCTCCTTTTGTCTGTGTTTATAAATCAATTTACTAATGCACCTTGCGAGCTGTGTACGTTGCAAACCGTGTTACGTGCGCAGTTTCTGCAAAAGCGCTGCCCTTCAGATGGGTTTTGATTAAATATGCTTTTTGTGTCTGCGAGCGTTCGGTGTGATGTCCAAAAACAATCTTACTAAGATCATTGCGCATCAACCAAACAATAACAGTTGGCAGTTTTTAAAAGACAAAGTTGAACTTTTTTACTATCAATGTGGAGCTCTCTTTTATAGCCATTGTGTGAGTCAATACGTTAAGTAAATTAAGGCAATGTAGCATGAACACATTTATTTCACAAGCCATAGTTTATACAACCAAAGCGTGCCTCAAAGTGTACTCACGCAGATTGCTACAGACAGCAACGCTATATACTACTTGCGTACAACCTTTTTACGTGTGCATATGTTCCTGGAAATGTGTGTTTTGTATTTACATAAATATGTAAGTAAAAAACACTACATGATTAAAAATAATTCCTCGTAATTCGCAAAACACAAGTATGTGATTATTTATTTCTCTTTTAACAGGTTACTTTCACGAAAGAACAAATTAATCGTAAGTACGGTGTTTGAAATTGTGATAATTATGATTCGACATAATTTTATTATATATGCTGAGATTTTAAAATACTTTCCTCGTCATGGCAGACATGAACGAATGTGGAATATATAAACAAAATGGCTGACCTGCAGAGCTTTTTTTGGAGAAGACATTCTTTGGTGGAAAGGGCCCAAGGGACAACCTTGAAATATCCCCACATAACCATACAAGCTCATTGAGAAAACACCCTGACACGCGGTGAAATATGGCAAGGAAGTCTAATGCCATACTAATGCATGATGACAGCTGATGGTGGCATTTACCAGCAAAGCCATCACTCATTTGTGATTCAAGTTTATATCCAATGTGAATCAACGTCACGGCAATCTATGTAAATGCATAATGGTGATAAATGTTCTGGTGCCGTTCTATTATTTTCAGAGTTCAGTGGCACATTCGTCCTCTTCGACAAGGCTGGTGATATGAAGGTCCCACTAAACATGGTGGGCGACGTCATCCGTGCCCTTAAGTTTAACCCCACCAACCTTTCAGTCAGCATCGTCCAAGGGAAGCTCAAGCCTGAAGGTGTGTTCCCAGTGTGTCCGAATTTGCTTCGTGTCCTTGTCTTCTGTGAAAGAGCAAGACCACCCAAAGATCCCAGAAAAAATATGAGGTGTATACAGAGAAACAGCCACACTCTGAAAGTTGGGAGTATCTTATTTTCAAATGGTCTACGGTTGTTATTGGGCAGATAACAGATAGGATCAACAAAATTTGCCTCACACTTTATCATATATTACAGGAGTTCTTATATATTATAATTATATTAAATAAAAGCAGCGGATGGCTTATCGATACTGAACATACTGTGCATGTGCTACTGTGTATTTAAAGGTCCCGTCATCGGATAGATCACTAAATGTATCACCTTATTCAATGGCGGAGCCGGGATTTTTAGGTAGGAGGGGCAACCCCTCCAGCAATGAAAAATAATAGGAGTTGTTAGTAAGTAAAGACTTGTCCCTTGCTTTTTATCCGACGTGTGTGCGGCGATGGCGCAGCCATCGTTCGAGGGTCGAATTCGAACCGCGTTGTGTGATCGGCATCGCGCTCGCTGAAGGTGAATGCCTTCAGGGAAGTCGTGTACTGTATCCGCAACTGCGCACAATTCTGTGAGTAACTTATAACTGCTTTGCCGTTACTTATTGCCAATTATATACACAGTGACAGTGGGGGTCGCAAAATGCCGATTTATTACTAATAAACCCCAATGATCCGATCGAAAGTAGGGATTTCGATCGCATCATTGGGGGGGCACGTGCCACCACCCCCCCCCCCCCCACTGGCTCTGCCAGTGGCCTTATTGAAGGGATATAAATGCGTAATAAAAAAATACCATTATTTTTTTCCAAAATGTTGTGGGTGTCTCTAAGCCACAATTTTAAAGATGTTGGTGGTGTCCAGACGCCCACGACACCCACACAAGCTGGGCCACCTGGGGGTAGGTGCACCTTCAATTCAGATAATTTTACAAAATTGCCTGGTGAGACTTCCCTCTGAATTCTCAGTTCGGCTCACTGCGGGCCCTCTGAATGCATGTGTGTGTGTAAATCGGTGGTGTTGTACCCCTCATATCGCCCTTAAATGTTAGCAACAGTGCCCCCCTGTGGCAATTGTTATCCATGGACAATAGTAGTTATATAACCCCTTACCACAGCATCTCTCCCATTTCAGCAAAAGTTTTCATGCTGTAGTTTTCACACCTGACGATGATTGCTTGTGTTGCAATCGAAACATCGTGATTTAATTTATTTTATATTTTATACGTGACTTTACCGAAATAACCAAAGAGTATAGTGTGAGCGTCTTTTAGACCGGTGGTTCACCAACCTTTCTAGACCTTTAATAAAAAAATATATATATTGCAGACCACCAAGGAGCAATAGCTTTATTTCCAATTAAAATTTCACGAAAATTATTAAGTTACTTTTGATTGACTCACCTAAAACATAAATTGTTGTGAGAAAAATTAGTTACTGCAACAGTGCTGCAGACCACTTCCCATCCACCTGGTGATCGGAAGACCACAGGTTGGGAACCACTGGTCTAGATTATCAAGCAAATAATGAGTTTCCACTTTGACAGTTAAGGAAGCTGCTTCGTGGTTCTTGTTTCCATAACACCGAGCGTACAATGGCAACAGCTGTTGAGTGTGCATCTTAAACGTGACAAATTGGCTTTGAATTATTCTTTGGTTCTTTCGGTAAAGTCACGTATAAAGAAGAAATAATAAATTAAATAATAGCATACGACGTTTCGATTGCAACACAAGCAATCATCATCAGGTATAATGAAATAGCGACATAAAATCTAACCAGAAAAAATTATAGACAGACATATAAGCAGACAGATATCACCAAGACACACAGAGAGAGCTCTGTACCTGTGTTGCTTTATCGAAAGAACCAACGAATAATTCCTGCAGTCACGAAAGCTCCAAAGTTAAGATTGGCTTTGAATGTTGATGCAGTTTCATGCATTTTTTTCTACAAATGAATTTGTAATAACAATACTGTCTACACCACCTTCCCTTCCCTTGCACCCTGACACCCACACCATGAAAATCTTCCACCCCATTGACCCACAGAAATGGAGGGCAAACTGGTGGACTTTGATCAGTTTCTGGTGATGCTTCAGTTCATTGTCAACCTCAAAGAGGAGGGAACCGTCGAGGACTTTAAGGAGGGTCTGAAGCTCTTCGACAAGGAGGGAAATGGTACAGTGCTGGCCCCTGAGGTGCGCCAGTTCCTCGTGACTCTCGGTGGGTAGACCATTTCAGTCCCTTGACAGTGCACACTTTGAAATGTGTGATGTCCTCAACAAAGGTGTTAAAACATGAAGTAATCTATTGACTTAAACAGCAGCAGCTTTACAGCCACTGTTGTGTGTTACGTTCCATTATTCACTTTCGCTCTGTTATTGATATGTACAGGAGAGAAGATGCCGCTGGAAGATGTGGATTTCCTCCTCGCTGGCCTGGAAGATGCAGAAGGATATATGAAAATCGATGGTATGACTTCATTTTGTAATTCAGTACGATAGTTTGTGAAGACCCAATTCTGGAAATATTATAGTTGCCAATACCAGCACAAGATTTTAATGAAGTAATGTATATGTATTGCAACGTTATCATTTACAACCTTTTGTCAATCCACTGCTGGGTGATAGCTTCCCATGATGTTTGAGTTACGTGGGTTATTTGACCATAACTAACCGTTAATGTAAAATGTCATAGCCAATTGTTACAAAATTCATATATTTAATGTATATACAAATCTGCATACAAATTGCAATATTAACAAGTATGCAAACCTTGCACAAATGTTAATTTATCAAAATATATTTTATTACCATTGCAACCGGGAATACTGATTTTTTTTGTGTGTGTATGCTGTGTAAACATTAATAATTTGTATTTTCTGTGAACAGAATTCATCACAAGAGTCATGGCTGGTTAAATTGATTTTTGCGGTAAGTGTAAATTTGAGGATACGTTGAAAAAACATTTTTAAAAATGTCAAAAAATAATTACGTCAAAAAATTATGATATGTCATTATCCATCCACTGCTGGATGGAAGTCTCCCCAAGCAATCATTTCTCATGGACTCACGAAGCAACAATCCATCGAGCTCCTGCATATGAGCCGATTTCATTGCTCCATCTCCTCGGTAGACGGACTATAAAGCATGTGTTTTGTCTAAGCTAGCTAAGATTATTATTTTGCTTGTGTACTTTAATCTATGTGTACATGCATTGAATGTAAGTAAGATTCGTTTTTGTTCACTCTGTCCATTGCATTAATTGTCGCATTTTCATTTTGCAGGCTCTCGGGAAAAAAATTTTGATCAACAATGTCTTACGAAGGACAAAGAAAACAATTAAAGAACAATCCAAGCTTTTACATCTGCTAATGTATTGTCCAATGTACAGATTATTTAAGCCACATTGAGTCAATCATAAAAAAGGGATTTTAATGAATAAACCAATACACACCGTGACATGTCCAGGGACTGGTTTCTTGAATGTTAAATCTTACCTGTGTAACAAATGAAATTGGAATTATGTGAATCTCCTGGCACAAATGCAACAGCACGTTTACATATTCATTTTGTTCGGGTTGTGATTGACAATTTCCTATGAAATAAACAAACATAATCGGGTTTGTGGAGAATATTGAGAAATATGGTGCTGTATTGTATTTGTTTTACACTACTTCGTACAAACTAATTACACAACCACACATACAACATATATGTGCATCGAGTAGATAGTAGGTAAACTTTTCCTTCATTTGGGGATTGAATTATTGTAGTTTTTAGATTTACATGTAAATGTAATTACCAATATAGAACTGGATACTGTACCATATTATGTTGAACTTATTTCGCACCGTATGTAGCCAACCGTGATAATCGGAGGTGCGGGGGAAGGACAACAAACTAAACACAAAAAGCTATTTTGAAAAAAATCTTTCAATTTCGAGAAATTCGTTTTCAAGAGAGTAAAGGTCAGAATGGGAATGAAACAACATGCACTCTATTTTACCAACGGCAAACCTTTAGGAATGCAAACCAATCCCTCCCTCCAGACTCACAGAAACCCGAATCATCCCACCAATCGTATAGCTACGATCGGGGCTTAATTTCTCACTCCATATTTTCAAAAACACTGCTAGGGGCACGTGTGAGTACGTGCGGCACTGCCCCATCCGATTAGCACGGTTGGCTACATACGGTGCGAAATAAATTCAACATACATACGTGTGGCACTGCAGTGAAAAACACCACGGCAGCTAATCGATATAGCATATCGGTTATACTGGAAGGAACCTCCTGGTTACACCAGCCCACAGGGTATTATTGTGTCCGTCCGTCCGTCGTGCAGGGAGGGGCTGGGTGGGGAGGGGCTGGGTGGGGAGGGTGGGGTGGGGCTGGGTGGGGAGGGTGGGGTGGGGCTGGGTGGGGAGGGGCTGGTCACCCCGTGGTGCCCTTATAAAACTCAACGTTTAACCTACTCACGCCGGCTTGTGCCCGCCCTCACAGTCGGGCATATTTGCGGAATACACCACGCCGCCGTTGACCCTGGCCATTGACCGAGCAACCCAAAAAGTTTTTTTTTATATTACTTGTTAAATGGAGGCCACGGACTGCGCCACGGAGCTTCTAGCGGTTAACAAGGTACCGTATTTACCGGGTAATACTGCGCGCTACCTTTACCCTACCGGGCAATTCTTCCGAGCTACCTTTTCCCTACCCTTTACCTTACCCCTTACCTTACCCCTTGGCATGTCGACACCTTTACCTTTACCCTTTTACCCGGTAAAAAGGGTAAATTACCTTACCTTGCCGAGGCCTACTTTGAATTAAAAAAATATGTGGTTATTTCGGTAAAGTCATGTAGATAGAAAAATAGTAATAAAAACAAAGTGAATACAAATTTTAATTATAAGAATGTAATACAAATAAAAAAAACATTAATGTAGACTGTAGCCTGGTTCTTAATCGGAGTGAGTGTACTGGCAGTCTATAATGTAGACTGTAGCCCGGTTATTAAGTTTGTTGAGTGTACTAGCAGTCTATAGTGTAGACTGTAGTAATGGTTATTACGCTGGGTGAGTGTACTGGCAGTCTATAATGTAGACTGTAGCCTGGTTCCTAACCTCGGTGAATGTACTGGCAGTCAATAATGTAGCCTGGTTTTTAAGCTTGGTGAGTGTATTGGCATTTTTATCTAGGTGACTTTACCGAAAGAACCAAAGAATATGAATTCCTGCAGTCAGGAAATTTTTAAGTAAAAAAAATACTTGAATCAACCCCTTGTGTCGATTTTATAGTGTAAGTAAAGTAACGTAACTTTACCACTTTTTTGTTACACTTTGGAAAAAAAAAATTTCAAAGCAAATTTTAGGTGAGGCACCACCCCAATACCGCCCCCCCCCCCAATACAGACCAGACGCTATTGTGCAAAGAAATGTACACGTATAGCAACATCACAAGAATGAAACAATAATCGTGATTACGTTGGACCCAGGATGAGGGACTCTCTCCTGCTTACACCAGAAATGTCCCAAAGTTAGGATTGCCCAGAGTTAGGGGCTCCACTGTGGCGAGATGTTAACTACCTTGATGAGTTCGGCAGTCACGAATAGCATAAAGATGAGAGCTCTCCATGTACGTATAGTGTTACTAGATGGATATGGCAACAGGGGAACATTGATTGAGCCCTGATCAGGACTAAACAGGTCTAAAATTGTGTTTTTGTTCTACTGCTGTCTGTTGGCACTGTCACATTTTCACAATTCTTTTAGTTGGTGGTCCAAACAACAAAATGGCCACACTAGTGGTCTCGATACGGTTCAGACATTTTGTACATGCAAGGCACATCTTTGTGTGTTGTTAAATATAGTGTTACAATGTTTAAGCGCCAAGGTAGCTGTGAATAAAGAGAAGTTGCCATCTAGCGTTGAACGGTGATAATGCACGCATAGAAAATGCAGTCAATGGTGATTCAATACGGTAAGGCTTTGCCCATATAACATGTCATGTGCAGCAACGCTATTCACTCTCTTGTCATTCATACGTATTTGGTACGCAGTTGACCACCTGTCACTAAATCTAGAGCAATGTTGCAGCACGACACTCTATGAGGTGTATGCATCAGCATCACTTTCCACTATCTACTATTCCATTAAGGTATCCATCCCCATGTTGTCACAACAAACTATTTTAAAAGTACGTGGACAGCATTTTGTACACAATTAAGTGCTAAAAGGCAACACGTTAAAACAGACACCGTACATTCTGATGTGTGTGTGGTTAAATTTCGATTTAAAGCGTTCGTGACTGCAGGGATTCATCTTCTTGGTTCTTTGGGTAAAGTCACGTAGAAGGGAAGTAATAAAATAATAAAAATAAAACATAATACGTGACTTTACCGAAAGAACCAAGAAGATGTGTGTGGTGAGTGCAGTCCTGCTTGGAACGTGTGGAATGTGTTTGATTCCCAGCATTGCTCGCTATAGGTTTCACAGTGGACATTGCGTGACTACCTCGTACCCGCATACAGTGCATAATTCCAATGCCACACTCACAATTTCCTGTACCCGCACAGCCAGTTGTAGATAGGGATAATGACTTAGTGCGCTTGAAGCTGCTCAGAGGATTATCTTTGTTAATGTACAATCATGCGCTGCACGCAATGAAAGCAGCTTCATGTCCAACTGAGGTTGTGTCGCAATTTTTAATCGTAAGAACAACTTGATAATCTTCTTGGTTATTTCGGTAAAGTCACGTAGAAGGGAAATAATAAAAATTAAAACGTAATAAAATATTTTATTATTTCCCTTCTACGTGACTTTACCGAAAGAACCAAGAAGATGAATCCCTGCAGTCACGAAAGCTTTAAATCGAAACTTGAAAATCGTTGAGGTGGCACAGTATGTTAAAATGTATTATTGCTCCTCTTACTATAACCAAGCTGTGACATTTCATCTTCACACCATGACAAAAACAACGATGTGCTCCTGCATTTGAATGAATGCACAAATAAGCCGAAGGCAATCAAATGCAGGCAGGTGACTCATTTAACCAGACAGTGTCACAAGTCGAGATTAAACCGACAGCCAGGGTTTAAGCAGCAGTGAACCACACACGATTTGTGTATTATTATTATATGTATGCGGCTGTGCATGATTTTATGCTTTACTTATAACTGCACTGGCTTATTTTCTCGCTGAAAATATTTGAGGTTACTGATATAGACTGGAGTAGCTGGCATGTAACTAGTAGCCGCATGGATAGTGAGAGGAATACCGGTTGTGATGTGCCATTGGGGTCATATTTTCTGACTCGCTGACACAGCTAGACCCGACTGACATTAAGTCTTTATCTGGACATACAGTATTGCTATTATATTCTTGCCGTGGTTTTCACACCTGATGATGATTGCTTGTGTTGCAATCGAAACGTCGTGAGAATTTAATTGTTTTATTATTATTATTCTATTATTTCCCTTCTACGTGACTTTACCGAAAGAACCAATAATATGAATCCCTGCAGTCACGAAAGCTTTAAATCGAAAAATAAGTATTGCTATCATTCGCAATCAACTAAATGTTTTCTCGATCGTGAGTAGACTGGAATAGGTGGCATGTGATTAGTAGTCACACCAATAGTGAGGTCCCGAGTGTGGGAATATTTTCAGGATCACTGACCTAGACAGACTCGGCTGAAATTAATCTCTGATCTGGACATACCGTATTACCATCCTGTAAAATAAACGCAATGCTTTTATCCCCTGGAAATAAACTTCCTGAACTCGTAATGCCTATGTACAGCTGCCAAAACTACCATGACTTCTCATTTCTGTATTTCGACCTCAGAACCACGGCCATCAGGGTCTGCTCTGCACTTTGTTTCTGCTGATAAACATGTCCGTGGAGAGTCTCCAACTTGGCATTATGGAGATGTGGCAAATTCAAATATCACATTCCTGCGGAGGGAGCTGGTAGGAACGTTGGGTTGCTCGGTCAATGGCCAGGGTCAACGGCGGCGTAGTGTATTCCGCAAATATGCCCGACTGTGAGGGCGGGCACAAGCCGGCGTGAGTAGGTTAAACGTTGAGTTTTATAAGGGCACCACGGGGTGACCAGCCCCTCCCCACCCGGCCCCACCCCTCCCACCCCCCACCCAGCCCCACCCTCCCCTCCCCTCCCCACCCAGCCCCTCCCCACCCAGCCCCTTCCTGCACGACGGACACAATAATCCCCTGTGGGCTGGTGTAACCAGGAGGTTCCTACCAGTATCACCTCGTATGATATTGCACTCCAAAAGACCCAGGTCCCTGATTTAGTATTTTTTTAACAATTATTTTTTAAAGGATTATGCACTTTTTCCTTTTTAACACGTAGGCTTTTTCCTTTACCAAAAATATCTTTCATTTTCCCTAAATGTTATCCTGATTGTGTTATCGGCGTCATGCCAAGATTCTCAGTATCCTT